ATTTATTTATATTTATATATAATCTATTTATAAATAAAAATTTTATATTTATATAATTTTATATAAAATATTTATCTATTTATATATAAAATTTTAATATAAAATTATATTTATATATTTATATTTATATATATTTATAGATATTTATATCTATTTATCTACATTTATCTATCTATATAATAGATATTTAAATCTAATTATATATAGATAGCATATGCCTATATATACACATACTTATATAAATATAAAAAACTCTATATAACAGGGTTTTCATTAAAATAATACAGAAAGTCTTGCCTGTTTACAAATATATAAGGTTATACACATATAATAATATATTATTAATAAATATAAATATATATAAAATTATAAATATGTATATATAAAATATAATTCTGTTTAATTCAAACCCAGCTCAGCAATTGAAACAATATTTTTCCTGTGGTGAATTTTTCCTGTGGTGAAATTTGGATAAATCTTTATTTCATTTTCACTCGCCACAGATAAAATATCCATTAGAGAGAAGAAATAAATCAGAGAAAAGCTCTCCTGGTTGAGGAGGCTCTGAGTGCCATTGTAATATGGAATATTATATATATAATAATGTAGTAAATAATAATAGTGATAGTAATAATAATAGTAATAATAATAATAAATAGTAAATAATAATAATAGCAAATAATAATAAGATAATAATGATAATAATAATGATAATAAAGATGATAATGATAATAATAACAATGATAATAATGATGATAATGATGATAATGATAATAATAACAATGATAATAATAGTAAATAATAGTAAATTATAATAGCAAATAATAATAATAGCAAATAATAAAAAAATAATAATGATAATGATAATAATGATAATGATAATAATTATAATAATAATGATAATGATAATTAATAATGATAATGATAATAATGATAATAATGAGGATAATAATAATGATAATAATGATAATGATAATAATGATAATGATGATAATAATGATAATAATGATAATGATAATGATAATAATAATAATAATAATAATAATAATAATAATAATAATAATAATAATAAAAAATTGCTGTGTAATATGGAATATTCCCTGGAGTGCAGGATTCCCTGGAAAGGCTCAGGGCTCCTGACCTGGAAAGGCTCAGGGCTCCTGAGCACACTCACCAAGCCCTGGTATCGGAAGGAATCGTAAACGCTCCTGATGAAGAGCCAGAAGGGCCACAGGTACTCAAACCTGAACTCCAGCACAAAATCTGCCAGCAGCACCAGGGCCCACACCACCAGGAACTTCAGGTACAGGAAGGTGCTGGGGGGAAAGAAAAAGGAAATTTCAGGTCAGGATTTCCAATAGATAAACTCAGTTTTTGGGGTTTTTTTTGGTTTTTTTGGGTTTTTTAATTAAAATATTCAGAATTACAACTGTAATACAGAGAAGGAAATGTCAGCCAAAATAATTTTATAAAATAAGTTCAGGGTTTTTTTTTTATTATTATTATTCCATTACAGCAGGCCTGGTCTAATGAAGCTGATACTGAACTGCATTTATTTCTCCTGATAAACAGCAGGACACACACGACATCAGCACCCATTTGCATTTTCACACAGTGAAATCCTGCCAAAGGTAACTTCTCCAAGCTGCAATCTTCCTTTTCCAGTCCTCTCCTGCCCCTGGAGCTCAGGAATTTCAGTGTTGCCCCTCCTCAGCAGGCTGCAGATGTTCCCTCATTTAACACAGACTGCAACACCAATAAACTGAGATGTATTTAGAGCCCACAGCAATTTAAAGATTGCTTTGATACTGAGTTACCAGTGTTAGATTTGAAAACGTTTCTATGAAGGCAAAGGGGTCCCTTAAAAACAAACAAACAAAAGCCCAGAAAAATGGAAGCACACGAGGCTTGAGAGCAGCCTAACTTCTATTTTTTAATTCTTTCTGAGCCACATTCCCATGTTCTGAGTCCTGCATTTTGAACCACTGATGATCCTTCTTGGCAACAGAGCTTAAAAACATTTTCAGCTCATACCCAAGGAACACTTGAGGCATCATTCCTCCAAAAAAGAACCCAAATCCCTTTTTCCCCCCCAAACCCACCACCCCCAGATCTGGCACTCCAGCTCCCCAATACCTTGCTGCACTCTATTGGGTTACAGACAAAAAAAAGTGGGGTTAAAAATACATTTTTCTCTTTTAAATCAAGTGCCAATTTTCCTTTTAGTCACTTGTTTTCCCTCCTCTAGCACAACCAGCAGAACTTTGCCCTGGAATGTTTTGTGGGATGTGCCAAGGGTTTGCACCCAGAGCCAGGCAGGGTCGAGTTCCTGCTCAGGGCCACGGGGCTTTTTTAGGAACTTGTTCAGAATTTTGGGGAAGAGACAAAACACAACATTTCCAGAGAAAAAGGAAAACCAAAAAAGCAGGAGAGGTTTGGAAACAACTGAATTTGTGCCATTCTCACTCGCTTGTCACACAAATCCAGGTCCAAAGCTCCAAGGCTGGGGAAAAACCACTTGGATTTGGTGGGAATCAGAGGTGAATGGGATGTGCTTGAGAATCAACAGAATGGGGTGAGGAAAAAAACACAGCAAAAGGCTCCAGGAAACCCTTTAATGGAATGGAAACAAAATTAACTGCACACACTTGGAAAAATTAAAGAAATTCGATTTTCAGTTCTGATGGACCCAGCCCCAGTCACAAATTACTGTTTGAGAAGAATGAAACTATAATGTATTAAAAAAAAAAAACAAACTCAAACCCAACAAAATATCCCACAGCAAAACCCAGCCAACCAAAAGTCACCACAACCCCTTAAATGGTCACATTGTCCTGGTGAATTATGCTTCCACAGACTGCCTTTCCCTGTTTATTTAAAGTTTAGATCCTCACCAGGAATCTGTAAAAAAAGCAGCTGCATTCAGAGAACATTTGACACTAAAGGTGACATTTGGGCCCAGACTCTGGAATTATACCTGGAATTGTATCAGATCTGAGGGATTCTAGAAAATCATCCTAGCCAGAAATTCCTTGCTCTGCTCAGTTGTGTTGTGGAGCTTTTTCCTGGGTTACACTCATGGCTTTTGTTTATTTTCCACGAGGAAACCCCATTTTTCCCAGCAAATTAGGGCTGTCAGGCCTAATGCTGCTCAACTGTGAAGTGCCACTCCAAGTGAAAGCATTTGCAGAACAAGAGATCTGTACCAGAACCATTAAAGTGATTTCTGATATTAAATTCATATCAATCCAAGGGCCCTGCTGACACTTAGCACTTTCTAAAGTGGAATTGGAACAATGCAACACTTGTAAGGAGGTTTTGCCAACAGTATTAAAGAGCCTATTTCTCATTGTCTGAAGGGCTCCAAAGCCATTCAGAATTCCAGGGGTACAGGAAAAGTTTAAAAGCCTCAAGCCTGGTGTTGGCCCCAGCAGGGAAGGAGCCCAAATCTCAGTTCCTGCTCCCCCTGAGCTGCTGCACAGCCAGGTTTGTGTTCAGACAAGCCCCCAGCCCAGCAGGATGAGCTGACAGCTCCCCATGGAATCAGGGAGAGCTGAAACACATCCCCAGGAATTAAACCCCCTGGAAAACCTCGTTATTGTTATATCAAATATATCCCACGAGACCAACTGGAATTCTGAAGTGGATCCCAAAATGGGGGGGGGGGGAAAGATTCTTGCAGATGAAAACCTAAAAATCTGGGTTATCCAATTTCCTGACACATGTCAAAAAAATCTGCCCTGGGTGGCCTGGCAGAGGTTTAAGGACAGGGCTTTTCCCATGAAACAGCATATGGCATCTAATCCTGGAGGGTGATAAAGGAAAAGGAGGAGCAGGGCACAGGGCAGGGAGGAGCAGTGATTACAGTGCTGCAATTTCTCTGAAAGGTCAATTGATGGCTAATGTACACTGAATAGAAAGATTTATTCATAACCCTGTAGTGACTGTGCTCCCCCTTTGAATTTGCAAACAAATAATTTTCCTCCTTATTCTTCCTCCCCCTGCAAGTGCCAGATGCCATTTCCTTCTTTTTTTTTTTTTCCCCTCTCTCTTGTTCTTTGTTCTCCTTTTACTGCCCCACAGCAGCAAATCCTCTGCTGGCTCTAAGGTAAAAACATTGCCAAAAATCCCTAGAAAAAGACCCAGTTCTGTACCCCAAACCCAAAGTGGGGGTCGATGAAGCTTTAATTCTCTCCCCACTATTATTAGCAATGGCCAAAGGCTGGAAAGGAAATCCTGGCATGTTCCATTTGGCAGCCTGACTCATCCAAGACAATGGAGCAGGAGGCATCCTGAGGCTGGCAGGGTGCCAAGGGCACAGGTGAGCTTTAAAAAAGGTGAATTTGAACATTTGGGTGAAATTCCCAAATAATCAACAACCCTCCCCCACCTCAGGGGTTACCCAGCAGCCACAACACTGGGGATGCTGAGTGGAGATTAGCAAATAGAAAAGCTTGATATAAATAAACACACCAACAGATATCAAGTGGGCAGGAGAAGTGGAACAGATCGAGCACAGCGAGTCTGAAAAGCAGAAAACATCACTGCTGGCACTGGCCACGTGAAACACTTGCCAGCTACAGGTTTGAAAAGGAAAAGAAATGTAAAGAATCCCAGGAAAGCTCCCTGACTCCTGATTCTTGTCAGGACGGATCCATCCCTGAGCTGGGGCAGGTAAGAAAAGGCAGCCCCGAGGGAAAATCCTGGCAGTGTTGGAAGCCAGGCAGCACCCAGCCCGTGGGGCTGGGACAGGAGGCACTGGGAATTCAGCTGCAAACACCAAAATCCAGCCACAGGAGCTGCAGGGAGAGTCAGGGGCTGATACTCCCTATGCCACCGGGGCTGGCACAGTGGAACACATTAAATGTAGGCGAAATTACACCGGAGTTCAAGTGAGAAAAGGCAGCTCTGCTGCTTTGTTCCAGACCTCCGGGGCAGCTCCAGCAGAAAATGCTTTACCCTCTATAGGGAAGCTGGTAAAAAAGTGTCAGAATAAATTAGGAGGAGAAATCATTATAGATTTTCAAGAAAAGCCTAAAAAAGGCCACATTCCTGGAGGTAGCGCTGATGTTTTCCTTCCAGTTTATTTGGCTGACAAAAATCCAGTCCTTGGAATTCAGCCCTGTCAGGATTTGGGTGGCAGAGGGAACCAGGAATATTTTAGGGGTGGTGGCACCCAGGAATCCTGTCCTGTGCCACCAGGGCCAGGTGGAGATGAGACACCCTCCCCTGCCAGCCCACGGAGCGCCTGGATAAAGGGCAATTTACATCCTGAGCTAAAAAAACCCTGGCTCTGAAGGAACGGGGAGTATTTCAGGACTATTGTCAGGGAATCCACGAGACAGCATCCACCAGCTGATGTGACAGCACAAGTTAAAGGAATTCATCTTGAAAATTCCTCAGCTAAAAAAGCAGGGCCAAGCAGAACCAAATATCAGCAATGCAGCTGAAGGATCCTCACCAGATTTCAACCAGATCCAAGATGAGGACCAGGAAGACTTAGGGACGACTAAACTTTAATTGCTTGACTGATGACAAGCTGCAATTAATACTTTAATTAACAATTAAGGGTTTAATGGATGCACACTGCCAAAAAGTAGATGTTAAATCGCTTTAGCATTTTTAAACTGTTGCCATTGTTTTACGTGGGAAAAGGCAGAATTTGGAATATAAGCTATGGAAATAAGAGATCCTCCAATTACAATCTGGAGATCTGTTGAAATCAGTTATTTTAAATTATAATAAAGTTCTTTCCATAGATCCTTCTAAAAAGCACAAGTCACTACAAAAATCAACATTCAAGAAACAGATCATCCACATCTTTCAGTGCAGCTCAGGATTTTATAATTCTAATTCTGTTTTACTATCACTTCTTATAATCTGCTGCAGTTTTACACATGCAAACTCTGCCACTAGAGCTTCCCTGCAGGACAATCCCTTCCTTGCTCCACCTGCTCTAAAACTTCTCATTTTCCCAGCTCTCCCCCACCCCACGTGTCTCAGTGACAGCTGTGTCTCGCTCACACACCCGAGCTGGACAGGAGCCTTAATTTAACATCAGGCTTAATTTAAAAAGCAAACAAAACAAAGAGTTAAGTATCCAAATCCCACTGTTTGTTCAGCCTGGCTGCTCTGCCCATAAACCCAGGATGCTTCCTCCTGATAACTGCATTTACTGGGTCTGTCTAAGCTGATGGGGACAATTAAGATAAGCTGAGTAAATAACTGCAGTAATTACAAGAATTTAGACAACTGTAGTTCTGTGAGAAGTTACATGTATGTAATCACTGAATTATGGAGTGGAGAGAGAAAAAAGTTTGAAAAAAAAAAAAAAAGAAGAAAGAAAAATATCCCAGTCCTGTAGGAGAACATCCCTGCTCAGATTTCCAGAGGGAAAAGCCTTCCCAATATTTCTCCTTTCTGTGGGACAGCATTCTAAGGATGCTGATTGTTTCTGTTTAGCAAAACACCATGTGAAGCAAAGGCTAAAAATCCCATTCCTGAGCCAAAGCATGCCAGGAGAATCAAAGGCAGAGGTGCTCACACGACACCAGCAGCTCTTCCTGCTGTACACACTCAGCTCCTGGAGTTCCTCTGAGCTTTCCCTGATTTTCCCTCCTTCTCTCACCCCATTTTCCCTGCCAGTCACCTCAAGGGCAAAGCATTTGGATTGACTTCTGAAATAAGCAATTCCTTATATATTTAAATTATTCTTCACCTTGAATAATAATTTCTACACAAGGGATGTTTTTCTTTACCATTCCAGGCAGCGTTTTCCCAAAACCTGAAAGTCTAAAGCAGACAGCTCTCTGCTCTCACAGATTCACTACAAGTGGGATAAGCAGCACGCTGGGACAATTTTATTCCTGTCACAGCTCCCCAGCAGCTGCTTCCCTCATGCAAAGTTTAACATCTGAATTGTATGAGCTCGCTCAGGTTTCCAGGCACTGCATTCATCAACCCCACTGAACTAGAAACAGAAATGGGACAGCAGCACTTTTACTACAGCTCTCACAAACTCCTGCTGTTTGAGAAACGCAGAATTACTGCGTTC